TGACAGAATTTTCATTTTTGAGTGAACTATCCTTGATCAAGTGCTCATATCACATTATAGCTTTGCTAAATCAAAAGAGTTTACCAATAATTGCTCTCTTAATTTCCTCCAGGACATAAAGGCTGGATAGAGGTAAAGGTCTATTTACTATTCATACATATGCAACATAATGCAAAGACATACACTGTCTTTCTGAGATTAATCGCATGGAATAGTCATTCCCATGTGTGGAGATTAATAATAATGATTGTTTTGTTTTTAGCTCCCCAAACAGGCCCCAAAGATAGCAGGCTTAAATATAAGAACATTGCATCAAGATGCAGACGTTGAGAGAGCAATCCAACCACAACAGCCTGAGGAGGACGTTGATACAAGCGGACCCGTGAGCCCCACACCAAGTAACAGGACTGAAAATGGAAATGTTGTAGATCAAGAGCAGGGCAAAGGACTTGTCTATCCAAGTGCTGAATCAAATTCATATTCACATTTATAGAGCAAAGTCTTCTACAAAGTAGATAGCTGTCCTGTCCTCCCATCATGTTACAACCATCAACATATAGAGCATTACATTATAAAGGACGGCTTTACTCTAAATGTCCCAAAACCTGCATGTGTCTTACACAATCATGACTGAAACAGTAGCTCCTCAACATGAGCCTTGTGTTTTCAAACATATAAATAGAAAATACTTATTGCTGCTGAAAGCCTTTGCCGTCCTGTGATTGCTACGAAATGCTGCACACCCTCCCCATGCACTCGACACTACTAGTGCTGAATAGAAGGCTACCTGGTCTCATGGCAAAAACGTAGCGAGACGCAAAATACGTACCAATAAGTACATATCACTGCAGGTTCCAAAAGAAATGAACACTAGAGACAGTAAAACTCCGACACCTTTTATTCCTTTTCACACAAATTTACACAGTTTCGATTAATAAATGTAATTTTCGCACAATTACTTGAAGAATATTATGTTAAGACTTCAAAACAATTTTAATATGCTGGGAGATTTGAAAACTGACGCTTTTGAATGTTAGCATCACACATATCCAGCTTCATATCTATGGGTTTTCATAGACGGTACGTTTGTTCGGTAGCTCACGGAGTACGGAGACGTACTTGAGGCGCGAGGAGCTCCGGTTCGAATTCCGTGCAACTACGGTTCGACAAAACAATTCAAATCTGCATATAGAAAAGTTCAAATGGCACGGTTGTATCAACAAATGCCTTTTTATATCAGTTTTGCATTTGTTAACACTATCGGGTAGGTTTAGGGGTGGGTTTGGTGTAGGGCATGATAGAGCATTAAAGTCCCCATGAAATTAAAATTAAAGTTTTTTGAGTGTTAGTATCAATATGTTAGTCTTAAGGTTATCTATAAGGCACTGTGCTCCAAAACAGTGGCAAAATTCGCATTTAGAAGATATAAGCATTAAAAGCTTGCAGTTCGTCACTTCCGCCAAAACGGCTCCATGATTTTTTGACGTCACATCGTACTTCAGCTTCTCATCAGGAAAAAAATAAGTCTGGTTTCGCGCTGTGTCACGCTAACCACCGAACCGCACACACTCTGCTCCGGTCCAGAGCCATGATAGCACGGAGCGGATCACATGCGCGAGTCGGCGCAGACCACAAAATGTATCGGAGCT